GACTGCATAACACCAGGCCGAGGTGCAGGCCTCTCGTCTCAGGCTTCTGCATCGAGGCGAGAGCGTCTAATCGTTTGTTTGAATGACGCCACAATATCAACACCGGTTCCCACATAATGATCAATACTTTTCTTAAATTAATAAAATCTTTCTTCATAGCTGCCCTTCTTCTCTCTCTCTCTCTCTCTCTCTCTCTCTCTCTCGCACTGACCCATAACACACACAAACCTTGTCATTGGACAAATGTGCAGACTCAAACTGGATAAAAATAACAGAACATGTAAACTTAGGCAATGTATGGTGTAAAAATAAATGTTTGGTGTTTCAGATTTAGGGATGATTTGTGTCCGTTCTCTCGTATCATTTTCATCCTAGATTATTGTTTACTCTCAGAAATCCCTCTTAGGATATTTTATATGTAAACTAGGCTAACTTTCAAATAAACAGGCTTGAGTAAACTAGAGTTTGCTGTGATCATAATGTGACATTGTTGCTCAGGGAGGAACAGTACTTAATATGACTATTGCTTAAATCAAGACCTGTAAAGGTTAAACATGTATATATATATATATATATATACGATATATGATACCTCTTATTTTAATTTATGAAAACCTCTTTAATAATAAAGCTTACTGTTTGATTTAGTGAGATATGACTGTAATCCTCAAGTCTTGTGGAAAAGTAGAGTGCTTTTTCGAGGAAGCACCTGCTTGCTGGCACAGAGTTATTTCCACGGTAAACACTGGAGGAGTGAGGAACGTCATCCGGAGCACAATAATAAGGGGCTTTCCCGGAGCCATGTTTACCCCGGAGCAACTTGCCACTGGAACAGCTGCGTGAAAGTTTGCTCCCAACTACATTAACCCAACTGCTAATGTGTGCTTTAAACAAATAAGTCTTACAGGTAGCATGTAACTGGGGAGCATGTAGGGTTTTGTACTTTATGCAGATCATGTTAATGGCAGAAAGAAACACAAATAAAATAAAATATATATATATAAATATGCAGGAAACACTGAAATTATCCTGCATATTAAGCTCTAGCGTGTCCGACAGTCTAATGGAGGAAAAGTGAAGCTCACCTGAAGAGTCCCTTGAGGAAGAGCTGCAGCAACTGTTGAATACATCGAGGGGATTCAATTGTTCCTTGTTTATTGACAATCACTTTGTCTTTTTTGGGGCAAATGCAGGAGCGAGACCGTCTCTCACTCCATGTGTGACAGAGGATAGAAACGGTTCCCACAGAGACAGGAAGTCGAATAGGGGCCTCTTGTGATGCAGAGGGGGATCAAAATTGAGGAAAGTGTGTTTGTGATGATGTGTGCGTGCGTGCATGTGTGCTATTGTGTGTATGTCTTTGTGAGGACAAATGCCACGGATTGAGGACATTTTGGGAAAGTGAGGGTGTTGGGCTGAATGCATTATACCAATAGGTTTCCTAACTAAGATAGAAGTACAAGGTTATGTGCGGGTATGTGTATGTGTGCATGTCTCTCAATAGTTATGAGGGAAAATTCTGGTTCAATAGCATCATTGTGAGGACATTTTTTCTGGCCCTCACAAATTAAAGGGTCAGGGTGAGGGGCTAGGGAATGCATTATGTCAATGAGTGTCCTCAAAACTATAGAGAGACGCGCATGTGTGTGTTTCTTTGTGTGTGTGGTGTGTCCACTTTGTAATCAACACTTCTAATGCTTTAACTAGCACTTAGAATACAGCTTCTATATTCAAATTCTAATCTTCATGTTCAATATAATAAAAGCTCAACCCACACACCCAAATGCAAAACACACACCCAAGCGCATGTACAGACATTTTGAGTCACACGCACTGCACACTCACATTAATAATGGGAGCTGAAAGCAGCCGTTGGTACCATGTATGCTTTTGGCACAGGGGTGGTCAGGACCGCGTTAGTAAAGGAGACCCACGCTCCCTTTCTTTCCCACTGTTGTTCAGGTTATCCTGTGGGGCCACTTATGACCCTTCTGCAGGCAGGATGCAATGTCTGGGGACCCCAACAGAGCTGTACACAAGCATCCGCAAAGCCCTGGGAAGAAAACAAGGGCTGATGGAAAACCAGAAGAAGGGAGCATAAAGAGAAACAGCAGTTAGTAACCAGGACGCACTCAATAACAATCACCATGCACCTGCAGCCTGTGTATGTGTGTGTGTGTGTGTGTGTGCAGTGAAGTGAGGTTGTTCATTCAGAGAACTAGCACAACAGGGTCCCCACACACAGCCCAGGTGGTCCAAACAAAAACCTGTGAAGTCTTGCCCAGAGAGTAATATCCCCACATTGCGTTTTTATAAAGCCCCCCCATAGGAAACAAACACTTCCGGTGCTGTAAGATTTATTGTTCTCTGCACTTATAGGCTACAACTTACTCTGAATGATATCTTCCTTATAAAATTGTTTCATTCATTTGATATCAAACAAGGGGGGGACTCATAAATACTCCGGGGCATGAGTCATGGGTGAATTCCCTCTGCCTTTGCATTTCACGGTGACAATAGGAAAGAGCTGGTTAGCTGGTATGAAAAACCAAAGCATTGTTGTACTTTGATAGATTGATCGCACAGCATCAGCTCGATTCCACATCCAGATGGTGCTGCACTTTACTGAATCATTTCTTTATCGTAGGGTCAATTTGTTTGTAATACTAGTGAACTATTATTCACTGATGGACATGGTGTGAGTTCAGGGAAAAGTGTCTTGAACTTGAAACTTGGAGTCACGGAATAAAATGTGACCTTCAGTGCCATCTAGTGTCATGTAAAGGGAACCTCAGAAACCAGACAACCTGTGGACTGCTTAATGGTCCTGGAGGTAAATTCAGTCTCCACATAAATTATACAAATCAAAGCACTTGTGCTTAAGAGGAAATAAACCAGATCTGTCTTATAAGAATCGTTCTCATGGAGCATTAAAAAAAGGAGTGAGTATTTAGATACACAACGTCTTCTCAATACAAATACTTGACAGAAACTGATCTGTTGCCCACATATTCACACCACTAACATGTGTTTGTTGC